GGGGGGGGGGGGGGGGGGGGGGGGGGGGGGTGCTGGGCTGGTTGACTGCGCTGCTGCCTCTTGATTGGTTGATGGAGTTGATGTTGGTATAATGGGCTGTGTGATGGCCTTGTGAGTTTTGTTGTGGAGATATCCTGGATCTTGCTCTGTAATCTCCTAGGTCGTTTGTTTTGTAGTGATCTTTTTTCCATTAGCCTCCCATAATGAAAAAAGATTAGCAAATGTCTCCCGTAGTGAAAAAAGATCACTACAATTATAACATATCTTCTTTTGCCCTTTATTGTGTAATCTGTCTTTGGTCTATCCATTCATACCAGCAGTTCCAGCTGTCATAATACATTGATGTTTCTTCATCTTTTAATGCCAAAGTTAATTTGTCCATTTCTGCACAACTTGAGATTTTTTGAATAATCATTTTCTTTAATGGAACATGAGGTTGTTTCCAACACTGTACAAAAGCCAATCTGGCCACTGTCAAAGTATGTACTATTGTATACTCCACTTTTTTGGGAAATTGTTTATTAAAGATCTCTAATAGAAAGAATCCTGGTTTGAATTTGATCTGTTCTATTGTTATTTCTGCCGAATATTTTCTAATTTTCTGCCAATATTTTTGAGCCTCTGTACAAGACCACCACCCATGGAAGAATGTTCCCTCCTTTTTTCTTCTTTCTTATTTTTAATTATTATTTAGCATATGACGAAAACATGACAGAAGAAAAGTAAACATATACACAATATCCACATAAATAAATACGGACCTTCTACAGACATATGCTTCATCACTGGAGGTTTTTAAGAAGAGACTGGACAGTCACTTATCTGAAATGGTATAAGACAGTGGTGGCTGACCTTTTTTGGCTCCCATGCTGATAATTGCCTGTGCGCTCCTGCGCTCACATGCCAACACCCAGAAGGCAATGCATGCTGAGGGCCCCCACACCCCCTGCACATGCGCACAAAATCACCCTCCTGTGCACCGCACAACTCTGTGAATGCATCCGTGACCCCCCCACACTGCACTTCTCTGCGCATGCACGTGTGTCTCTCATGCCCGCCGCCCCCCCAGCATGTCAGATACCTGACAATCAGCTGTCAGATGACAGCAGTGCATGCACATGCACAGTGGGGCTCTTCTGGGTGAGCTCTCGTGTGCTGGCAGAAGTGGCTCAGCGTGCCATTTCCGGCATGCGTGCCATAGCTTCACCAACATGGGTATAGGATCTCCTGCTTAAGCAGTGGGTTGGACTAGGAGATCTCCAAGATTCCTTCCAGCTCTATTCTGATTCTGATTCTCCTAACTGGATGTCCAACAGGAGGTTGCCTCTAGCATTGCTTCATGCAGATCTTCAAGGAGATAGGCTCTTCATGTCATTAGTTGTCAGTGTAAGATATTTCAGCATTAGTGGAATGATAATGAAAAACAAAATAAATACAGAGTGTATCTACAATTCAAAGTGGGGAAGACCAAGTCAGGTTGAGTTTACTTTGCTTAGGAATATACAGTGCTTATGAATATGTCTCTTCAAGTATAACAAAAGAGCTACCAATAACACCCAAGCTTCTTTTTGTTCCAGGGACAATGGTGAATCTCAGCTCAGTTCAACCTTTTTAAGTTATCTTGGAAAAATCATAAACTGAAAACACAGCCCTGAAGATCAGTATTACAAGGGGGAGAAAACCTGGAAATTTTCAGCTCTGTGACTGAAACACAAAAGGGCCTTAAACACAAGTAACATAAAAAGAAGGGAAAGATCAATGAAATTAATTTCCTGAACAATATACATAATACATGATCCTTTAATAAGTAAGTAAAGGTAAGGGTTTCCCTGTCAGTCATTTCCAACTCTAGGGGGTAGTGCTCATCTCTGTTCCTTGGCTGAAGGAGCCAGCGTTGTCTGAAGAGATTTTCTGTGGCCAGCATGACTATATGCCAAGGCACACAGAGAACTGTTACCTTCCCACTGAAATGGAACCTATTAAACTATTTGCATTTGCATGCTTTCGACCTGCTAGATGAGCAGGAACTGGGGCAAGGAATGGGAGTTCATTCGGTTGCAAGGCACTCAGGTCTCAAACCTGGGCTGTCAGCTGACAAGATCAATTACTTGTAACCACTGAATCTCGTGCCCCACACTTTTAATAACTTAATAATTTTCTTTATGTACTAAGAAAAGAAAATGATTTTGTCTGGGTGCAGTAATACAGATCAGAAAGAAAACTCAACTGATTATCACTGCTGTAAAGTATTCCAGGGAATACTATTTAAAATCATTGTCATCACAACCATCATCATTATCATCTTTAGTAATATTACCACAATGCTCTGACATTTGCTAATATTTTATTTATTCATGTACTTGTTATTGTTGCTTACTCCAGTAGACTCTGAATATGAGATAGGCTGGACTAAAAAAACTCATAACAATAAAACATTATAGTCCTTCACAAATACAGGCCTGGGAGCAGAGCTGGAGACTTAAGAGCTTTCCAGAACCCCAGGAGAGTTTTTAAAGGTACACTATCATTGTCCTGGGAAATGTCCTTGTCAAAGCCAGCCCTTTCATAAATCATCATTTCCTTCCAACTTCTGGAAAGGCATGTGATCTATCTTTGCTTTACTTTGATCTGACCAAACTCGAATATGAGATTTTGTTAGGAAAAAAATGATCAATACCCCTTTGTAGTTTGAGTAGCACATGAAGTTGCATTCAAAGAAATGATGATTGAACATTACCAGGGAAAATGGGAATATATGGCATTATCTTATTTTTCCAAAATGGACAAGGACCTTTAATTCTGTTATCTTGACTGAAGTCCACCCACCTAGTTTATTATCTACTTGTAGTCCACCATGCACAGAAATCATATTCAGTATTCATAACATACATGGACTCAGGGTGGCCTAAAACTCACATGTTGCTATGATTGTATTGTTAAGCTGTAGAAAAGTTCCTTAAGGTGGAGCACAGAATATCTCTGTTGCAGTAATTGTTTAAGTGAACATAAGAGTTTTCTTCACATTAGAGCAGGGATTTGTTCAGGAAATTGTTCCTGAGGGAACCAAGTGCCACACTTTAAGGCAGAGAGGATGGCAGAGAGCCAGGGAAGGCAATGGCAATTGATTAAAAAAAAAAATCTCTTCAGGAACTTGTATCACCCCCTCCCCCCAACCTTTGATGGCAGAGTAGTGAAGTCAAAGTAATATCCTGCCAATGAGTGCACTATGCACCATGTTACCTTTTTCATGTAGCGGCTACAAAAATTATGCCAATATCCCAATTATTTTTAATAAACATCAGGAAGCAGGCAATACTTAAATCCTAAAAAGGAGATGGAGAGCAGAATAGTTAAGTCTATCTTGAAATGAATAACGAGTGACAGAAAAATTGTGGTTATTCTATTACGCATATTCAATATGAAAGCCTTGAAGGTTTTCAATAATTTTCAATAATTAGTTTTTTGGTCTAAGAAACACTGCCTTAAAAACTAATCTGTGTCACAGTTGGTGCATTTGATCAAGAACAAGGAGAAGAAGAAGGAAAAGCACCAACCGGTTTACAGATTAAACCATGAAAAAAAAAATCCATTTCATAAAATGAGTTCTTGGATTTTACTTTGTAGATAGATGTGTAAATGTTGTGAAATATTAAATCAAAATTAATTTCTAATTCCAAAGAAACAGCAAGTGAGATGTATGGCAAGTGATATGTAATTTTTCTGAACCATTGGAGATTGAATATTAAATGACACAACCAACATGAGTTTATCTAGCAATTACTAATGTATGATTTCATGAAGGTTACATGAGTGCAATCAAGTTGATTTTAAAAAATCCTATTCAATAGAACACAAAAATGGAGCATTCAATAACTACAATACGTGAAAGGTTTTAGAAGATTCTTTGTACAATATTACAATTTTTGTTTCATCTCTGGATAATTAAATTTCCCATTGAAAGCATATATAACTGAAGGGACAATTGAATCATTAATATTTAAATTTTCTATGGACTTCAAACCAAGAGTTTATTCCATGGGCAATTTTCTGTATTATTATGTTTCATTGTTTTATTTTTAAATAGGACATATTGGCTGCTTTATTGTTGAAATAAGTGTTTCCATGTTTGCATTTCCCACAATAAGTGAATGCTCTAAAGGAACAAATAAAATATTTCATTATTTTTCTATCCTTTGATTGTATGCAGAGAAGATAACTACAGAAAAATAAAGCCAAGGTTGAAGGTAAAGCTCTGGGATCCCATTCAGAAAAATGAATAGGGTGGCCCTCAAACGGAGTTCCGTACCCTTTCCTATTTTGAAGTGCATTAAGTAATATATGGGGGTGGGCTTCAAAAATTTTAGCAAAGGGTTGTTTGCCTGGTTGCTGGGTAGGCATGGCCATGGTGAACGTGGCATAGTCAGCTTCCTGTACCATGGAAGAGGGGAAGTTCCTTGGGCTCCGGAGGCTCTCTCGAAGCCAGAAATGGACCCATTTCTGGCCTTTCTGAACTTCTGGGAGGTACATTTTTCACCTTCCCTGAGCTTCCACATGCGCCCTGCACTTATCTGCACTCAAACGGGGCCGATTGGGGACTCCTGGGAGGGGTAGAGTGCGGTGGGTGGGGCCAGCCAGGAGTGGGATTTGGAGGTTCTCCAAACTGCACAGAATCTTAGCTAGCAGCTCTCTCGAACCCACAGCAGCCCACCCTTGGTAATAGAGATTACGTTCTAAAACAGTGGTTTTTCAATCTTGGCAACATTAAGATGTGCGGACCCCAAGTCCCAGAATTCCTCAGCCAGCATGATGGAAATTGAAGTATGTAGGTCTTAGAGTTGCCAAGATTAAGAAATGTGGTTCAAAAATTTGCTCACCTTAAAGGCAAGTTGAGGGATGTTATTGTAAACATTAGCAGGGCAAGTAGTTTGGAAGAAGCTTCAGGAGTCTGAGAGCACCCATTTTGTCCCTTACATCTGATTCTCCAAACAGAAACAAATTAGAGGGGAAAAAAACTCACATTTGTAGCACATGCACTTGGCCAGCCAGGAGTGGGATTTGGGGGTTCTCCAAACAAAAGACATGCCATTGAATTGCATACTTTGGTTTTCTTTTTCTTAAACAGTATGTTGAAATGACGTTAAGAAATGCATATACTCACCCAGAAAATTCATCCTTTCTTTAAAAAAAATGATAACTAGCTAACAAGTATTAAATGTTGAGGTATATCACAGCAAATTAGCTGGAACTCTACTAACCATAACTTTTGGCTTGGATATTTATTTAGTACCTTGGAAAATGTCCTGAGATTCAAACTGGATTTAGAAAACTTTAATTTCTATTTCTCATGTATTGCATAAGAAACCACTGACACAAATGGATTACATTTTCATGAATGGCAATTATTTAGCAGAGGTTGACATACATTCAGTGTAAGGCACAAAACACACCACAAATGAAATTGGCAATAACTATTGCCCTTTCATAAAGGGCTTCTTACATTTGTTCATGGCAATTTTTTATGAAAATGACCCA